TTGAAACCCTTGAAACCTTGAAACCATTGAAACCCTTGAAACCCTTGAAACCATTGAAACCATTGAAACCCTTGAAACCCTTGAAACCCTTGAAACCATTGAAACCCTTGAAACCATTGAAACCTTTGAAACCCTTGAAACCCTTGAAACCATTGAAACCCTTGAAACCTTTGAAACCCTTGAAACCCTTGAAACCATTGAAACCCTTGAAACCCTTGAAACCCTTGAAACCATTGAAACCCTTGAAACCATTGAAACCCTTGAAACCCTTGAAACCCTTGAAACCATTGAAACCCTTGAAACCCTTGAAACCATTGAAACCCTTGAAACCATTGAAACCCTTGAAACCATTGAAACCCTTGAAACCCTTGAAACCCTTGAAACCATTGAAACCCTTGAAACCCTTGAAACCCTTGAAACCCTTGAAACGCTTGAAACCATTGAAACCATTGAAACCCTTGAAACCCTTGAAACCATTGAAACCCTTGAAACCATTGAAACCCTTGAAACCCTTGAAACCCTTGAAACCATTGAAACCATTGAAACCATTGAAACCCTTGAAACCCTTGAAACCATTGAAACCATTGAAACCATTGAAACCCTTGAAACCATTGAAACCATTGAAACCCTTGAAACCATTGAAACCATTGAAACCCTTGAAACCATTGAAACCCTTGAAACCCTTGAAACCCTTGAAACCATTGAAACCCTTGAAACCATTGAAACCCTTGAAACCCTTGAAACCATTGAAACCATTGAAACCATTGAAACCCTTGAAACCATTGAAACCATTGAAACCCTTGAAACCATTGAAACCCTTGAAACCATTGAAACCCTTGAAACCATTGAAACCCTTGAAACCATTGAAACCCTTGAAACCATTGAAACCTTTGAAACCATTGAAACCATTGAAACCCTTGAAACCCTTGAAACCTTTGAAACCCTTGAAACCATTGAAACCCTTGAAACCCTTGAAACCTTTGAAACCATTGAAACCCTTGAAACCCTTGAAACCCTTGAAACCATTGAAACCTTTGAAACCATTGAAACCATTGAAACCCTTGAAACCATTGAAACCCTTGAAACCCTTGAAACCATTGAAACCCTTGAAACCCTTGAAACCTTTGAAACCATTGAAACCATTGAAACCCTTGAAACCTTTGAAACCCTTGAAACCTTTGAAACCATTGAAACCCTTGAAACCCTTGAAACCCTTGAAACCATTGAAACCCTTGAAACCATTGAAACCATTGAAACCCTTGAAACCATTGAAACCATTGAAACCCTTGAAACCATTGAAACCTTTGAAACCCTTGAAACCATTGAAACCCTTGAAACCCTTGAAACCATTGAAACCCTTGAAACCATTGAAACCCTTGAAACCATTGAAACCATTGAAACCCTTGAAACCATTGAAACCATTGAAACCATTGAAACCATTGAAACCATTGAAACCATTGAAACCCTTGAAACCATTGAAACCCTTGAAACCATTGAAACCATTGAAACCCTTGAAACCATTGAAACCCTTGAAACCATTGAAACCATTGAAACCCTTGAAACCATTGAAACCCTTGAAACCATTGAAACCATTGAAACCATTGAAACCATTGAAACCATTGAAACCCTTGAAACCCTTGAAACCATTGAAACCCTTGAAACCATTGAAACCCTTGAAACCATTGAAACCATTGAAACCATTGAAACCATTGAAACCATTGAAACCCTTGAAACCTTTGAAACCCTTGAAACCCTTGAAACCATTGAAACCCTTGAAACCCTTGAAACCTTGAAACCCTTGAAACCCTTGAAACCATTGAAACCATTGAAACCACATCCTTTAAACCATTGAAGCCCTTGAAACCATTGAAACCGAGAGCTGCTACTTGACTCTCAAGTATTACTACAGGAGGAAACCTAGACTGAACTAACTTTATTTATACTGGATAGCTCGACCAGTTCTAAACTGTTCTTCCTAGAAATTCAGTAAGAATCATCTTTTATTGATCCATGACCTTGCGAGAGCTGCTACTTGACTCTCAAACCTTGCGAGAGCTGCTACTTGACTCTCAAGTATTACTACAGGAGGAAACCTAGACTGAACTAACTTTATTTATACTGGATAGCTCGACCAGTTCTAAACTGTTCTTCCTAGAAATTCAGTAAGAATCATCTTTTATTGATCCATGCATTTACTACAGGAGGAAAAAAAACTAAACTAACTTATTTATATTGGATTGCTCTATTAGTTCTAAACTGTTCTTCCCAGTGTTCAATAAGAATCATGCATTACTACTACAGGAGGAAATATAAACAAAACTGACTCAGTTATTAATACTATGGCAGTCAGTTCCAAACAGTTCTTCCGAGAGGTCAAGCAAGGGTCCCTGATCCTTATTGACCAGCGGTAAACTGTTACTATACAAAAGGAAACCTAACTATAGCAGCCCGTTTACATTTGCAATTTTTGCTGCGACGTCTAGTGAGATTTTCTTCTTCCCACGTATGTGAACGAGTAGATGAGTAGTAAATGCTCTGAGATTTGCTCTGAGTATATGCACCTTCATCTAATGATTCATAACTCATCCACTCGTTCACATCCATCAGAAGAAGAAAATCGCACCTAAAATCGCAGCAATAACCTCTCTAGAGCTCTAACCTCTCTAGAGATCCAGTAAGGGCAATGTGGCTTAGTATTATACAAGAAAAAAGCACAAGTAATTGTAACAAACCTGCAGCAGACTTGTAGCAATGCTGTTCCAACAACGTGTCAACAAGATGTGTTCGCACTGCTTGTTCACAGCTTGTTGCATGACAAGTTGTCGACGGCTTGTTGACAACTTGCTACAAGTTTGTTGAGCTCAACAGACTTTGTTACAAGTTGTTCCAACAATTTGTTACCGTGCTGCAATTCAGCAACTTGATAACAAGTTGTGAGTGATAACCTTGTAGCAACTTGATAAAATAACAGCATAGTTACAACTTGTTGAGAAGCTTGCTACAAGTCTGTTGCGAAAACATCTTAAGCTTGTTGATAAGTTGTGAGATTCTTACGTGTGAACTACAGAGGAAACTGGAATGCTCGGAAAAAACGTGCGTTTGTTTGGTGGAACCATTTCATTCTGTTCTGTTTTCCATAGGGCAATTGTGCGGTGGAGTTGGTTTTGGGCCATCGCAAGTGTGCTGTTGTGGAACAGTTCACGAGAGGAAAGCTAATTATGACTGCTGCGGACCCAAGTATTACGACACTCGAATTCAGAGATGCGCAGATTTTTACACACTGATGGACAACTAAGGAACTCCTTATATTAACACTAGCGTACTGACTTAGAAAATTAGATACAGCGAAACCATATGGGACTGTGGTTAAAGCTGGTATAGTCTTTATACTTTATACTTAATTAGCATTTTATGCGCAAATAGTAAAAGGGGTGTGTAATCAATCTTGATAAACTCAGAGTAATACAACAATAATGCTTTTGGTATCATTGTTAACGATTTTGTAACTGTGAAGGATTAAAAGATTTCTGCTTAATATTTTGTAGTATTCTTAGTATTTTTGTAGTATTTAGTAGGTAGTATTCTACAATTAGCTGTCGTGGTTTGTGTCTGAACTACTTGAAAAAGATATCTCAAACGTGGTGGTCCAGTGTAGGTGGTATTCTACAATAAGCTGCCGTGGTTTGTGTCTGAACTACCTAAAAATATATTTCGAACGTTGTGGTCCAGTGTAGGTAGTATTCTATACAATAAACCGTCGTGCTTTGTGTCTGAACTACCTGAAAAAGATATCTCAAACGTGGTGGTCCAGTGTGGGTATAGTATTCTACAATATTAAGCCAGCTGTCGTGGTTTGTGTCCGAATTGCCTGAAAAGATATCTCAAACGTAGTGTAGGTAGTATTCTATAATAAACTGTCGTGGTTTCTGTCTGAACTACCTGAAAAAAATATCTCAAACGTGGTGGTTCAGTGAAGTGTCCAGTGTAGGTAGTATTCGATCTATAATAGGCTATCATGATTTGTCTGAACAAGAATGGTTTCTCTCCTTAAACATGGAAATGTTTTGAATTTTATTCACGGCAGCTTATATAATATTGGTTTAGAAATAAGCATAGAAATATGGAGCCGCGGAAAAGCTTGAAACATCTGGTCGTTATTCCACGCAGTCTATATCGGGCAGGCACTTATATTGGCATCTCGACACAATAAAGCAACAGCTTGTTTTTGTTGTTCATCACAGGAACCTGAGCTACGAATATCTTCGAGCTGAGAAACAGGTAAAAAAAGTGTATACAATTCAAATGTTCGTATCTAGTATGGTTTAATTAATGTTGGTAGCACTGTGGCAACTAGCAAGTGCATGCATCAGGGCCGTCGCTATAGTGGGTAGGCTTCTACAGATTATGCTACGAAAATGCTGAAATTGTGCTCCAAAAATGCGAAAAATTTGCTTAAAAGTTGCTCGAAAATTGAATAAGTTGCTCAAAAGTTGCTCGAAAATTGAATAAGTTGCTCAAAAGTTGCTCAAAAGTTGCTCGAAAATTGAAAATAGTTGCTCCTAAAATGTCAAACGTTTCTCGTAACGAACAAGACATACATGACGCTTCTCCCAGCATTAGCATCGGCACCGCTTTTTCTTCATCATAAATATTGTGGGGTCATAAACAAATCGCTTTTAATTGTTTACAAGTGAAAATAATATTTAATTTTGTGTATGATATCAGTACTGAAATACTATTGAATTCAATTAATATTCCTAATCTAGTCTTATTCTGTGGTAGCAGGTCGCGAAAATGAGGTAACTTATTTCTCAGCATTTATCAGTAAACTTTTCTTCGGTTTGGAACATACTGCAGCTATGAATAATCTATAAACTCTATTTCTCATATGTATTTATAATAGTGTATTACTATTAGGCACAAGAACTTTCGTGATACTTTCAAACTTCACCATTGTTGGGTTTGATAAACAGTCATAAACTGAGCTGGAAAACTGGTCTGAGCTGCCAGCTATTATCAAATTAATGTAACTTGCAGTTATGGGGGTTGTTATGGATGTTTGCAAATATGTCAAGCTGCTGACTGCCATAGGATCTCCCAAACTGTAGAAGTAATGGTAAGCTAAAAAGTTTGTCAAATGGCCAAGAATAAGAAAAATATTTTGGAGCCTTGTCGTGCTATTCTTTCATATCAAGCATTTCTTTAGATATCTTTCTATCAATAAAATTAGCAACATGGTCTATATTGCCAGAAATTTCAAAAAATTATGCATTTCCTGGAGGAAGTTGTTTGAAGTTGCTGATAACATAAAAAGTTGCTTCAAATGCAAAAAGTTGCCAAAAAGTTGCCGAGCATAATCTGTAGAAGCCTAATAGTGGGATGTAACACCCCCGCCCCCAAAAAAAAATCTTGTCGGCAAAATGTGGCAAAGTGGCTCGGATTAAAAGGTAATAGTTTTAGCAAAAATTTTGATAAATTTACGAAAATATTACCAAAAAGTTAACAAATTCGAAAGTTAGTGAAAAATTGTATTGATAAAAATCTTCTAATCCCAATATGTCCAAATGACTAAATGACAGCTATTTATCGTGAAAATAATTATTTTCCTTGCGTTGTGCTCTCCAGAAACTCTAATGCTCTTCATTGCAACATTTGATATGGTACTGCCTCCCCCCCCCCACCCCCTCTCCAGAAGTTCAGTAAGGTCTATCATAATTGCGCACTGGTCCAGTGCGGCTGCAGAATCAGTACAAAAAGATGCGGAGTTCAGTCGAATCAGATCGTCTGGAAGCATTTCAGCCATTCCTCGCATGCGACTAAGGGGAAATACTGCATATTGCATGTAGAACCGTGGTCGTAGCGGTAAAAATCACGCGCACTAAAGTACCACCAAACCATATATTTGTATAATCTGCTCATAGGATGAGAGTTAAACCAAACGCAAACCATTCATATTTGGCAACTGTAAACAAGTTTTGGTAACGGTTATAATTCTTCAATTTGCCGCAAAACTCGTGTTTAGTGAGGAGGACAGTGACCGAGCGAAGCGATTTTACGAAGTAAGACCTTCCTAGGGAGTCTGGGGCTGTGTCAGGTAAAAAAAGCGAAATATATTTCTACCTTGCATGCAATGATAGTATAGCCAGATGAGCATGCAACTAGTAGTATATTCACTATAGTATTTGTGTACCAATTTCCCAAACCAACTACGAAAGGGCACATACGTTCAGTATCATGAAAATTATTGGGGCTGTAAAGCCTCACGCTAGCGCTTGCGCGGTCCCTGGAAGAGACAACCTCGAGGGAGACCCGGATACGAGATTGTGGCAGAGAATGAATTTTATGAAAGAAGATGGTCTAAACTATCCAGGATCAGGGCCTTTCCTGTTTAGCTGATGCTGTAACCTGCACTCAGGCGTAGAATATAAAAAAGAAAACCTCTGCACCCAGGATAGGTTCCGTATACCTCAGGGCCTGTGAGAGTTGTGCGCGGCCGGGAGGGCCCTGGGGGCGAGGTATACGCGGCAAATTATATTAGTTATTCTGTCCTCTCAAGTGCAACTGCTTAGCAAAACCAAAAATGCCAAAATTAAAAGCCTGTAAAGCCTTGACAAGTCATTATTCGTTTGCAAGTAGTTCAGACGCCGCCAACAATGGCAGCTTGTATTAATTAATAATCCAGCTTTTCAATTGCATTAGAATAGCAACGTAAAAAATAGAGCATAAGCATAAAACACTTGGTGGGTCGGGCACTCTACATCTACTACATCAGTATTCAATCACTTGCTGATACCTCTAGATAACAAAGCAACAGCTTCTTGTTGCCTTTTTGCTGTTTGACGCAAAAGAAGCTGAATTGAAGAATTTCAAAAGTTTTCAAGCCTAAAATAGGTATATAAAATATATACAACTAAATATGTCATTGTCATGTCTAGCTAATGTAATATTGGTAGCACATAGGTTAGTGCATATGAAGCGTTATTAGGGTCAAAATTCGAATACAAATTATGTTATCCTTGCACTCAATTTATATTCTTTAAATCGAATAATAGAATTTGAAACGGTCATGTCTAGCTAATGTAATATTGGTAGCACATAGGTTAGTGCATATGAAGCGTTATTAGGGTCAAAATTCGAATACAAATTATGTTATCCTTGCACTCAATTTATATTCTTTAAATCGAATAATAGAATTTGAAACGGCATAATAGAATTTGAAACGGCATAATAGAATTTGAAACGGCATAATAGAATTTGAAACGGCATAATAGAATTTGAAACGGCATAATAGAATTTGAAACGGCATAATAGAATTTGAAACGGCATAATAGAATTTGAAACGGCATAATAGAATTTGAAACGGCATAATAGAATTTGAAACGGCATAATACCGTGCATGTAGAAGTAGTTACCGGTAAAAATGTTCGGCAATTTAATTAAGCAGGCCACAAGAAATGAAGGCTCCGTGTCATTCAAATTTTTGTAACAATTTATTTCAGCGTGCAACGTTGTAAAGCCAGTTTTCTTGAGCATGCGCAGATTGAAAAGAGGTTGATAAATCCACGTACTTCCGCGTGTATTCGCGTATCAAAATGAAAAGTATGTCATAAGTCAACTTTTTGGCGTCCTACAGAAGTATTACCAATCAACATTCACTCAATTTTGAAATTTAAAAATGTTTATAACGTTTTTGATACGCCCATGATGTTAAAACACGAACGACTTGATTGTAAACACACGGCAGTTAATATAAAACACGAACAACTTGTATAGCAATCAAATTTGATATTTTGTAATATTTGACTAGCATAAGCAATTGTATAGCTCTATTTGAATTATCTAAATGGAATTGTTGTTTTCTTGGTTATTTTCTGCCCAGTGCTGTAGAAGTGGGGGGTCGCTTGGGGGCGGAGCCCGCCTTCTTCAAACTCTAGGGGGACTGAGCCCCCCTTCTACTTAAGAAAATCAAGAATTTATTATTATGTCACAGAGGAGATTCAGTCATCTGGCGATACTAAATACCGAATGTCAGACAAGAGAACGACAAGAGAAAACGTAACTCCGGTCCATTTACGGAGCAGGATCTTTGTTACAATCTCAACAAAAATATTTGGTTTTGATTTAAAAAACTCCAGCAGAATTAGTCAGACTTTTGAATTATAATTAGTTTGAACTATCACAGACTTTTTAAAATACGTTAAGTTACAGTGCATTTTTTAAGGATTCTTCAGTGGTGGGGCAAAACTGCCAAAGCCCAAAGCCGCAGGCACGAATTAGCTAGGGGGTCTGGAGGCATGCCCCCCCAAGAAATTTTTAAAATTTGGGTCTCTGAAATAGCATTTCCTGCATTCTGAGAACACATTTTTTAAAAAATCTCAGGCTTTTCAAAAGTCAAAACAAAGTTTTAATGGTGAAATTTGTAATAAATTGCATGCTAAACATTCAAACACAACATAAGTTTAACTATGCTCACCAACAAATTTTGTTTTTTAAACTTCTTTTCAATGTTAAACTCATTTACTCAATACAGGTCCTAGGGCCCTGGCTTTGGGGCAATAAGCCATTTTTTTTCTTCAGTGGTGGGGCAGAGGAAGAGGCCCACTGGGGCAAATGCCCCACCAGTCCATGGTATTAAAAAATGCCTTGTTAAGTTATTCCTTGCACATAATTATGTAGATTAGTTCAGTCTTAATTAGTACGCTGGACAGGTGTTTGTTTCCATTTATTATTTTCTTGTTATGTATTAATGGGCTCGCACTTTCCAGAAAAAAAAACATTTCTAAGAAAGGTAAGGACGATAAGTATGAAAAATGCAATTTAAATTATGCTTAAATAAGGCATTAAATTTCGAAGAAAGAAATCTATTCAAGGAAAATGTACAAAGCGAATAAATTTTACCCATATATAATGGCTTGCTTAAGAGTCGTTCAAGAAATTTTTAATAGAAACTAGTAGGTTTTATTGCATTTCCGGGGCTCTGAGCAGTCTCAGATTTCAAAATTTCCGGGACCTCCCAATCCCAGAAGGTTCACGCCTTCGGCGTTCGCTAGCCCCCCCCCCCAATCGTAAAATGCCGCTGCGGTAAGGGCTATAAGTTTACCCCTGGTCACCCCTGGTCATCGTATGGATCACACCTGGTCGTCATATGACGTCATGTTTTTTTTTACGATTTCACAGCTTCACGCTGGTCAAGAGAGCCCCCCCCCCCTCTGGTAAATTTAGTTCTACAGCACTGTTTCTGCCATCATGCGAAATTAAATTAAACCCACTTCAAGCGTACCATGCCGAAACGTATAAAAAACATTCAGTTTAAATTGCAAAATTTAGTGAATGTTGATTAGTTAATTAGTTAATACTACCGTAGGACGCCAAAAAGTTTTACTAAAAATGTATTCACCAATAGTACAAATAAAAAAGGAAACATTTTATAAAACGTCAACTTGGGTTCGATTCTCAAAAACAAACGTGTTCGTTTCTCTTAGTACTGCGGCTCGTGAATATACGTTACCAAAAACACTATTCAAAATACTTCAATAACGTTTACAACGTTTAAAATGGGATCAACTGATACGTCTATATACTTCATCTAAAATTTTAAAAAATTAAAAATCTCCAGCGGCCTTGGCGTTTAGTCCAAAATCGTCCACAACTTCAAGTTCTTTCTATAGAAAGGTAATATAGACCCCCTGAAACTCACATGTACTGATCTTAGAATTTCGAAACCACCTTACGACAACTTCATATATCGTTCATATTATCTTTTTGTGCTAGTTTCTGCGTCAGCTATTTAAGAAACATGTGGCATTCAACCCCAAGCTCGTGCAAATCCATGCACCACAATCCTTAGACAATATTTTACCATATATGAATAAACGCATGGTTAGGGCGGCTGATGGTGGGTTACCCATGCCGTTTCAAATTCTATGAAACATGTGGCATTCAACCCCAAGCTCGTGCAAATCCATGCACCACAATCCTTAGACAATATTTTACCATATATGAATAAACGCATGGTTAGGGCGGCTGATGGTGGGTTACCACCATGCCGTTTCAAATTCTATTATGCCGTTTCAAATTCTATTATGCCGTTTCAAATTCTATTATGCCGTTTCAAATTCTATTATGCCGTTTCAAAATTCTATTATGCCGTTTCAAATTCTATTATGCCGTTTCAAATTCTATTATGCCGTTTCAAATTCTATTATGCCATTTAAAGAATATAAATTGAGTGCAAGGTTAACATAATTTGTATTCGAATTTTGACCCTAATAACGCTTCATATGTATGCGTCTTTGTCCCGGGTTCGACTTTGTTCAAGGTAGGCAGTCGTTTTTTGTTGTTTTTTTTCTCCTGATTATTTCCTCAGAGTCGTGCATAATAGGGTCAGGTATCACCCTTACTGGACCTTCGGGAAGAACAGTTTAAAACCGATAGAGCTATTCAGTGTGAACCCTGTCCTTTGACACTTCAACTAAACTCAACTAATCTAATTTATGTACTGTATACTATATGAACAGCTATTCAGTTCCAACTTATTCGCCCTAGGAGTCCGTTAATCGGCAACCCTTAATTATTGGTAAAGTGTTTGTCCCCAGAGAAAGCCTACGGTGATTCTTAGAGTGAAATAGAAGCACTCTGCGTGTTTATTCTCACACACGAATGAAGAGAAATTATCAGCATATAATCCATGAAAAGTGAACGCTCATCCTTCCACATTCTGAATGCAATGCACTGTTTGACGCGCCAATCCACAATAACATTCAGGCATGCACAACTATTGAGTAAAACCGATGTTTCAAATTCATTATTACGCGCGGGAAAAATAACCATTTTTGAGCCGAAAGAGTCAGTATTTTACCGCGCGCAATACAAGTATATACAAAATTTGCAAAATTCACAGGGCTATATTTTCTTCATTTTACAACATTTAGCAACCAATCTTTGCAGTTTTACCCATTCTAAGACGTTCTTTCTACAGTAACTGTGGTGTTGGATTTTGTTCTTCTTGCCTTGATCAAAATTTAGTCTATAGCTGGAATTGCCCATCAACATCATCTATTTTATAATCTGTTCACAGGATGAGGGTTAAACAGAACAAACACAAACCAATCATATTCGGCAACTGCAAAGAAGTTTTGGCGACAGTTATAATGTTTTACTTTGCCGCAAATCTCGTTTTCGGAGCGGAAGAGAACGAGACTGAATTTTGCAGAAGAAGATGGTATGAATTCGTGAACGACAAAAAGAAATGGGAAAGTGAATGTTTAAATGAAGATAGTGTGAGAGCGTCATCGTGTTGTAAAGCTACAGCTGGTTATCTTGAACAGCGACATGAAAACTATATAAAGTGGTGTCCCATTGTGGGTAAGTTCAGAACAGTTTCAATGTTGATATACACCGTGTAAATATAAAACATTAATAGATATTAAAATTACATTGAAATATTATTGATTACTCGCCCCTATCACGCAGGTCTGGGCCACCATGCACATGGCCTTAGCCACGCACCCGACTTATTATTAATTTTTATGGCCTTAAAATGTTTCAATTTTATTTCATTATAGAAGGTAGATGCGAATGTCATTATTACACAGAGCGAGAGGTTAACCGCATTGTGTTCGATAAGAAACCAATCCAATGGTCGTGGAGCAAGCCTAACTTCACTTGCCCGCATAAATATCTACTTAATCGCCAAAAGGTTGAACCAAACATAACGTCGCCACGCAATTTCTCCATTGGTCGACATGAAATCAATAGTACCTTTGAACTGTATGGAGGAATAAAAGCAATATGTACCATTGTCTTCAATGTTCGATTATGTCGTAAGTATTGGCTTTATATATCTGATTGTATATGTATTATTCAGGCACTGGTTATTAATATTGGAATGGGGGGGGGGGCAGTGGGTGAGGAAACCTCCAACATTGAACTTTTTCTTGAGACCGCCTTCAAGCGAAATACATTTATTTGCAAGACGCCCCCAATTCCACCATATCGACTATTTTAGAACATATTAAATTAAATTAAATCAAATGCGTAATATAATGCAAGAGCGTTACACGGCAGTGGTGAAGCTAGCTCAAAGTAATTGGCCATGGAAGAGACGTGGTAACAATGTGCCGTAGTAAATGGAAGCGATGTGTCGTAAACTCGGCGCAACTATAAGACATATTTTTTGCTTTTTGAAAAGGGTCCTGAAGGGGTAAAATGGGAACTGGGATTGATCTATTTTTAGACTTGGAAAATGGGATTTGGGTTGCTGGGACTGGGATTTGGCCACTGGGAATGGGAAATGAAGTCCTAAGAAATGGGAATGGGATTGAGGTAATGCGAGTCGATTCCCAATTTTTCTGCCTTTTGAGTATTTTAAAATACAATTTTGATCCGTTTTTAATTGGTGTCTTTGGTCATGATTTTTGTTGTTAACTATACTATTCGCAGCACTACCTGCGAACAGGCATACTCTGGCGCCCGAAATTCTGGGTTTTCTGATTATGCGTGTCTCAGAATGCTGCAAATGCCATTTCCGGGATTCAAATTTAAAAATTTTCCGTGCCTTGCTTAAAAGGTCTTAAAATTTATAATTTGCATAGTTAATTAGAAATCCACTAGATTTTAGCAGATCACGTGACCAGCGTCCACCAGAGTCTTTTCTCCACAAGAGGAAAGACCCTGGGTACGAGGTTGCGGCCAAATTGTCATAACGATATCGATTAATCTTTATTAACTAAAAATTCAATTCCTACATTTCTTTGTAAGAAATCAAAGCAAGTCAAGAATGTCCAAGGAACTGGAAAGAATATGGCAATTCATGCTATCTTTTTGTCATACCAACTTCACGAATCCGTAAAATGAACTGGGAAGACTCCAGAGCTAACTGCTTAAGACATGGAGCTGACTTGGTTTCTATTCTTAATTCCTTGGAAGTTGATTTTATTAACAAGCAAACAAAAGCCATAGGAAAATATTGGTTCTGGATTGGGCTATTCCGCAACAAGACGACCAGTGATCCAAAGGAAGGCTGGATCTGGAGTGATGGCAATAATTTCACAAATCCTCAGCAGTGGCGATCGGGTCAACCAGACAACTGCCTGAATAATCAAAAATGTGCGCAATTTCTCGCAAGTAACAAACGGTGGATTAATTACAATTGCGCCGACTTAATTTCTTCGATATGCAAAAGGAAAAAAGGTACTGAATTTGTGTAATTAAGCTCTTTTCACATGATATATACAGAAATTTATATAAAAAATATCTTTACCATCCAACTATGCAGTTTTCGAACGCTTTTTTGCACTTATAAGATTTAATTAAAACTTGTAAGACTACCACTTGCTCATTTTTAAAAACAAACGTTTACTGTGGTAACAGCGACCCGTTATCGTTTGTCAAATTTCTGTTTTGTAGCTTTGTTTGTTTATACAGTATTTAAATAATGCGAACATCCACGAAAACACGGAAAAAACGTGTTAATCACCAACACAGTATGACATTAGTTACTGACAATTAATATTGGGAAATCTAAGCTAACTTCATAACCACGTTCCCGGCCTTTTCTCGCGCGGTTTTGGCAAGTAGAGTCTTCGAATTGTAAAGAAAATTACACGGTTCGAGAAGCATTTAATGACTGAAATCGCACGCGTGTTTGGCGAAACATTGAAAATGCCCCAAGTCCGTCACAGCACGAAGTGCAAATCGATCTCAGGGGAAGTGTGCACCTCCCCAAAACTTCTCCAAAATCCAGCCATGATCCGAATTATAGTATTCCTGAATGATAAATTATTTTATTTCATCACTATCACTGCCATCACCACCATTATTATAGTGATCATCACCACTATCATCATTATCACGATCATCACCACTATCACAACTACCATCATCATCATCACCATCATCATCACTCTCATCACCACTATCATTACCATTATTATCACCACCATCATCATCACCATTATCATCACCACCATCATTGCCATCACCACCATTATTATAGTGATCATCACCACTATCATCATCATCACGATCATCACCACTATCACAACTACCATCATCATCATCACCATCATCATCACTCTCATCACCACTATCATTACCATTATTATCACCACCATCATCATCACCATTATCATCACCACCATCATATCATCATCATCATATCATCATCACTATCATCACCATCACCACCATCGTCATCACCATCATCATCACTACTATCATTATCACGATCATCATCATCACCATCATTATCACTACCTTCATCACCGTCATCATCACTATCATTATCACAATCGTCATCATCATTATCTTCACGATCACCATAATTGTCATCATCACCATTTTGGACATCATCGCCATCATCTTTATGATCGTATATCTGATCTATAGTTTCATTGACCTTGAACATTGATTGCCCTTGCCGCACAGAGAAATTTGGGGGCGGCCGGGGAAAAGTTTAAATTCGGGGGCCCTATCAAGGTTAAAACACATTTTTTCGGACCAGTACCAGTAAAATTAAGGTCTAACAGATTTCTCGCATCATTACTTATATAAAAAATAGGTACGCTGTAGCGTACATGGCGTCTACTGGATCAAAAACAAAGAATGTCAATGCCGTCCGGTTTGTATTTACATTTCCGTCTTTCGAGTGGGGAAGATTAAAATATCTCGGCAAGTATTTACCCCCCCCCCTTTAAAATGAAAACCACCGTTGAAATCCTCATAAAATAACTTGTCGAACGGTGGGTCAAATGCCGTCATAACATTACACAAACCAAAACAATCGTATATTTTTATTTTACTCACCGCCTGGCCAAACATTCTGTATTTCATATCGAGAAAAAGTTGAATACCTTCTAAGCTCTGCAGAATAAGTCAATAGGAGTGAAATAGTGAGAAATACTCCTCGCTTTCGTGTAGAAAGTTTCGTTTGAATACGGCGCACTAGAAATATTTATTTTGAATTCTTCAGAATATCCGGGTGTTACTCGCACGCGCGTGCCACACGCTAAAATTCGCCAATAATGAGCACCCGTAGCTCAATGCACGTGCAAATCATATGCACGAAATCTAATTCAACTTGATGTATGCGTATTTAAGTATTGAAATGTTCACTCATGAATTTTTTTGTGGTATTTTCGTATTTCCACTACAAATACTTGGAGAGATCTTTATAATAACGTCGGAAACTCAAGGCCAGACGGCATTGAGCTATGATGAACAAGACGCCTGCTCAGGCATTCACACTTCCCTAAAAAATGACGACATGCGTGCTATTGGTATGATGTAATATAGAGAAGGGAGTGGGGATGCAGAAGAGTTGGTACCTGTAGAACCCCTACTTTCAGATGAGTGTGTAGAACAGTTTCGAGTCATACCTTGGTTTATGTCAGGGATCACATCAGCAAGATTGTGCTACTGAGATACTATTAAAGCCGAAGAGCCAAACTCACGCATAGATACTGTAGCTTCAAAGCGAAAGTTAACTCAGTAACTTTCAATTAAAAATACTTAAGGTACAACCTGTCAGATATTTTGAACAAGACGCTTGCTCAGGGGTTCACACTGGCCTCAACACGACGCAGTCACACGCTATAAAGCCTCAGGAAAACGAAGGGTAGTACGTGGTACTATATATACAGTCAAACCCCTATTAAGCGGACACCTTCGGGACCTCGCCTAAGTGTCCGCTTAAAAGGGGTGTCCGCTTAAAAGGGGTATGAAGAAAAACACAGCAGGAGGCAAAGGTGTGTAATTAGGTGTGTAATATGAGTATCAAAACAATAAAAAATATCTAGCAAATAATTAGCATAAAATGAAAAGTTCTTTGTGCATAAAAGTTCATTAGAAAATGTATACGTCTCTCACAGTCATATAAAAAAGGGATCGATACAAGTTTGCTTCAGAGGCTCACACAGATGATAGCCCATTATAATGTCATTTTTTTGAATATTGAATGCATTTTATCAGACAATCTGTCATCTGTCCGCTTAAGAGAGGTTGGTTTCCCCATTGGGACCTCAAGTAAGGTGTCCGCGTCCGTTAAAGAGGGGTGTCCGCTTAATAGGGGTTATGATAATAGTATTTTATTAAAGAAAACGAATGGGACCTCAGATATATGTCCGCTTAAAAGAGGTGTCCGCTTAAGAGAGGTGTCCGCTTATAGGGGTTCGACTGTAGTGGGTTAATTAAGAGCATAGAATCACACCTAATTTATGCTAGGAGCACGAGTTATTGGTATTTTAGTCATTTTATGCTATTGGACACAGTGAAATACTTATACCAAAGTTAATGGAACTTAGTTATATTAACTGTGTTTATACTCAAGGACAAGGTCCATTTTAATTTATCATCAAAATTGTCTCATGCGTTTTACTGTCTTAGATGTAAGGCTTAGCCTTATAGCTTAGGCATTGCTGTGTCATGACCATAGAAATAATAGACAGCCTAATATTTCTATGGTCATGACACAGCCGCTGAGAGGAGGGCCCAGGAAATAGGGGGCGATTTGCCTTTATATTTCTTTACATGTATGTCAAATATAAAAGTAACTTTCACTGCATGACAAAATACCCGGTGTACGAAACAGGGTTTGAACAATTGAACGCTTAAAATCTTGACTTTTAATTATTTGCCTTTACGCTTTTCACCATCCCGGCACACAGGCTTTAACAAACTTGTAAAATTCCTACAGGAAACATGCATTACAATTATAGTGAATTATCTACAGTTTTACATATAAAAATATTTACACACGTACATTAATTAGCAATAACTTACAATGTGCGGGAATGTGGCTTTGGTTTCGTTTTATACGGCTTTTAGTTACTTGCTTGCATGCTTGTTTAAACCGTTTCCTTACTTGACGATGCTTAATACTTTGCTTTATACTTTGCTTAATACTTTGCTTAATACTTTGCTTAATGCTTTGCTTAATACTGGGTGTTGGCTTTATATACCTATATTTAAATATTCAGTGTTCATCATGTATAACAAAATAGAATTGTCATTGTTGTTGAATTAGCCACAACACCCTGCGTACTTAATCGATGAAAACCGATCATCGGAAATCCAATCGATCAATCGATGGTAAACGATGTTAATTACTTAATTGATATCGACTGACATTGATCAATCGATGACCAATCGATAGTCACAAAAAGTCGTAGCCAATTTTATCGATTATTATCGATATTCGTCGCCTTTCGTCGATATTTATCGATTTGTATCGCAAAATGCTTTCGATTTTTATCGATTTATATCCTAAATAGTCGCCGCGTGTCGGCGTTGTTCGAGCTAAATAGTAAATATATTCCCATTTTTCAAAGGTACAGTGTATTTGATCTGCATAGCGAAATAAAAACTAATTTAATCAATTTAATAATTAATTTAATCCATTGTTACTGAATTCCGTTCACATTTGAGTTTGTTACGACATTAAAGTACGTATTAATTAAATTACGGCGTTACGTGTTAAGTTTGATTGTATGCATATTAACAGGATTTTTTCGTCAATGAAAATCGATAAAAGATCGATGATCAATCGATAAAAGTCACAGCAAAACAAGCCATCGATTATTCATCGATTTCCAATATCAATCGATTAATAAATATCGATTGGTATTGATTGATATCCATAATCATCGATTATCGATTTCATCGAGCAAAATAGTAACTTTCATCACTTAAAGTTAAACATTTATTCAGTTCATCTTGATATTTACAAACAAAAAAGTAAAACAAAAGGTTGGCATATTTCAAAGAGAAGTGATTGAAAATATGCAACATGATCTCACCCAAAACTGTGTCTAAAAAAAATAAAAAATTGTGATTCAGAGGCGACAGCTACCTTGTAAGTAATTAAGAATTCTAAGGAAAATACCGTCGATTGCAATTAAGGATGAACGACGTTGATAAAAACATTGTCTATTCTCACATGAAACTTCAATGTTTGTCAAGAGCACTTGATCTGATCAAATGTGACTTTTGTACGCTTTAATAATACACAATTTACAACATAAAATTGACTTAACAGTAAGTAAAGGTTTGTAGAACATACCTATCCAAGACATGATGTGTGGTAGAGATCTTTTCCAGCAATAAAAGTAACATAAATCCATGGGACTGATGAAAGAAAAGACAGGCACTTCGAAAAGTTTCATGCAAAAATAAAAACACATGGCAAAAGCTACCTGCAAAGCGATGTACGTGGGATATATCAGTTTTTAGACATAGATATCCCACCAGTCGAGGTTAGAGGCGGGGTTGGGGTGGGGGTCAGGTGTCCGCCTTGATACATAATAATAAGGCTTGTAGGGGTCACACGCAATATATATACCGACCAACACGACAGAAAACTGGTGATTTATAACACTTGCCCTTTGGGAAGTGTAATGAAAAAACCATTTATCGTAAACAGTTCGGAAACTTTCGTACCGGATGCGCGGGCTTTAGCCTAACCAAAGAGCATGTTCGCAGGAGAAGTGAACCATCCACTCTATACATCTTTGTACCTAAACCTCTTGTGGACAGCATGTGGCGACAACTGTTCCACGGACGCCAAAAACGTTCCAAATAAATTTTTTTAATTACACCTTTTAGAGCCCCTTTAACCGGGGCCCCGGCGCAAATTGTCCCGTTTGCCTCTCCCCAGGGCAGTCCTGCTAGTCGATATTGGCATGATTATGACCAATGGAAACACTCATCCAAAACCTCTAAGCCACATTTACTAATTCCAGATGACTTCAGTTATAGATAACTGTAGTTGTGAGTTTGAATATGAAGATTATTATTGGAAACCTGCAGTGCATTGGAATGAACCATGTCCCGAATGTACAGCAAAAAATGGGCTGAAGGTTACGGAACAACTCATCCCCAACATCAGACCACCAGTAGCGCTTGGTGTTGGAGAACATACCATTAACTATACATTCACATATAACCTGTCATCAGGAGGTTTAAGAGAAACCAAATGTTCTGCGAAATTCCGGGTGCTTGCAGGTATGTCTACACCTGACCAACTTTTATATTTATTATTATGCCACAGGAGCCCATGCGTTGATCTGTGTCTGTGTTGT